ATAACCTCCATATACATAAATTAAAGTATCTGTTTTCCAAAACGCGAGCGGTGCGCGAACAAATTAACGTCGCGTTAGGGAAATAAATTGAATTTGTACTCTTCCTTAGAGAACGAGCAACGAATGATCCTCGACCTTGATCATACCTATTCATAAATAACGTGGGGACGATTAATTTACCAATGAAAGACAAAGCCAAGGAGAAACGTGCAATTCAAATGACGATTAAAACCACGATTACTCGCCACTCTCGCGAATAGGTCCAATAGAATTGGTGCTTGTGACTAAGAGCGGATAACCGCTGAATCGTTGGCAACTCATCGTTCGTAAAATGCGACTCAAAAGACGAATAAGAAGAGGAGGAGTGGGTGAGGAAGGAGGAGGAGGAGGAGGAGGAGGAGGAGGAGAAGGTTGAAACGGTAGGTAGTGTCGACTCGCATAGGAATAAAGATCGTTGGGTCAAGCGCGCATTGTCGTGAGATGGGGGCGGGTTGGTCGGGGCAAGAGTCGGGGGTGACGTGGTTCGCCGTGGCGGATCGGAAGGAAGAAAGAGGGCGAGATCTCGGGAGTATGGATGGGGCGAGCGGAATGGCGGACGGGAGGGAGGGCGGGAGGGGAGGGGGTGGAGCGGCGACGGAAACATTTAGACCGTGGAGGTCGGTCGAGCGTGAAATAGAGAAGCTGCGCGCGCTCGCGTTCTCACGTTCCCCTTTTTCCGCGACTCTCGCTTTTTGGCGCGTTCGCCTACCTCCGGATTCGGCGGAGTTGAGATGCGCGAAAACTTTTCGCTCGTCTCCGTTGTCCTGCACGAGCGACGCCCCTCGCCAGCGTCACCTGCATCTCGAATGCTCGGGAAACTTACGCCAACGCCGCTGGAATGCCAAGGGAGTACCAACAACGCCACGGCCTCGGCTCCGCGACCAAAAGGAACTTCGACACCTACGCGACTTCGGTTTACTACACGGGCTTAGGAACATTTCGGCTGCGCTCTCATTACACGGGGCGGGAATGGCTCCGTTTAATGGCGTTATCTCGCTCTCTCGCCTCTCTACTGGACTAGAAAAATATTTTTATCCGAGCGACTCGAAGTGTCGCGGCGACTTGAGCGTCGTTGGCTCTTATCGAGCGAGACGCGCAATTAGCCGTACCTGATAATACCTGCTGAGCACGTGTAGACAGCGGGCAGCGCGGGAAGTGGTGCGGCTTATCGCTGGAAAGACAGCCCCGGTGCCCGATCCCCGCGACTTTCTCACGCGCCTTCATCGAATCCGTTCGGCGCACCGACCGTCGGAATTTTCGCCCTTCGTCCCCTCCCTTACCGTCCAGCTCCCCCGACATCACCCTGCCGCTCGTACCGCCACCTCGTAATTCTGCTTCTCCTCGCCGAACGCGACGCACGCGCTTCTAAGCACTCGCTTGGCAATGCTCGCTGACTCGTCCTTTCGACTTCTCCGGGTCGTTCTCGAAAAAACATCTTGGCCCGTGTACTCTGGAGTGAAGAAAAGGTAGAGAGGGAGGGTGAGAGCACGACTCGACCACTCGAGTAAGATTACACGTGCCTGCGACTCGTCGCTCCGTCGGCGATACTTTTTCTTCCTCTCTTTTTTACCTCCGGCCTTTCTCTCCTCTTCCTGCTTCCAACCCACCCACCTGCGCCTGACCATTCTGTACAGTCGAAAATAATTCCCGTAACTGTTCTTTTTTTTTTTTTCTTCCCGCGGTAGTAACAGTAATATACACGTCCGTTATGAATTACGCGTAAGATAAATTTGACGAAATTTGTGTGTAGCTGTCGAAGACGGAGGCGACCTGCGTTGCTTCTTCTTCTTCTTCTTCGTCTGCCCCTTCCATCCAGCCCCCATCCAATTTTTCCTCAACCCGTGCGGCCCGATAGCCATTCCCGTCGCCAACCATCCCGCCGAATCCCGGAAAATTTCAAATAAATTCGCGTAACTGACACACTTCTACCTCGTGCTGGTACACGCATTTTACAAATTCTCATTGAATGATCGATAACGATTATTGGGCTCTTTAAGTGGGACCAGCTAAAGAGAAGGTCGATGGGATCATGATCCGAGCATCGGCCTTCCTCCCTCGGCAACAAAAAGCGTCTCGTAGCAGTCGCGAGGACTCCGCTCGAGTACTCCTCTACCGGGCCTCACAAAATAATAAACTCCCTCTGTATTTTTCGGCTCTCGACGCGCCGAATAATCAACTCGCGTACCCTTCTCCGACGCCATTCGTTTTTTTCTTTGCACGTTTGTCTTACGTGCCCGTACGCGGCCGGTAAAGGATGCGCGAGAGACCCCAAGACGCGAAGAGTATAGTCACGTTTGGCTTCGACCGGTCGTTGAACCCGGGAGTTCTACCTTGTGGCCCAAAAGAAAACAAAATAATAAAACGAGGAAAAAGGTCGAGTCCCTTTGGACGGGGCTTTTTGGACTTAACGGCTCGCCTGACGATCGCCGCGATTAGAGACAGATCTTTCTTTCTTTCTTTCTTTCTTTCATTTTTTCATTCTGCCTTACTTCCTTACTTCCTTCCTTCCTTCCTTCTTTCCTCTCTTCGTTTGTCTCTCTTTCTCTCTCTCTCTCTCTCTCTCTCTCTCTCTCTCTCTTTCCTACTCGTTCTTCTTTCTCCCCTTCTCACTTCTCACTCTCACTCTCACTCTCGCTCTCATTATCTCGCTCTCTTCCCTCCCGCCCTTTTCTTGGTTCTTTATTCATTTCTTACCAACTCTACATTTCATGCTGTCTTGCGTTCTCGCTTCTTCTCTTCTTCTTCTTCTCCTTCTTCTTCTTTTACTTCTTCTTCTTCTTCTTCGAACTTTTACAATGATAATGCTACGCGGCTATTCATCATTATTTAATTGTCTGATTTGACTTAACGCTACCTTTCAACGTTAAGTTAATCCCGAGATTCAAGTCTAAAAGTTACTTTAAAATTTTCCTAATTAATTGATTGTTCATTGGAGTCCATGATGTCGCTCTTTTACAAATTATACCATCATGATATTCATTCAAATAAGGGACGGAAAACTAATTGTAATAATTACGTGTATCGTTTAAATATAAGTAATCAGTCTCCCCTCAAATGAAGAACCAACTCGCTTAGCAAAACGATTTCATTATCATTGAATAGGTACACCCATAGGAACGTGAAAAATCGTAAAATTGACAAATTCATAAATATTTTGCTTATAACAAGGTCAAAATTATAATCGTACATTAGTCGGTATCTTTTGTCATCTATGTAAAAACTCAAAACAGCATGAAAATTTCAACACAAGCATTCACGCGCATACGCATGTCATATGCAGGCGTACACATAATCATCCACACACTTTTCTATCGTGGTTACTTTCACCTAGTTGTTGTTCTATCTTGTTTTTAGCATAAGTTGCTCATGACAATACGTACGATAAATAAGTTCATCCACTTATACAATTCTCGCTAAAGACTTAAGCCTATGATATGTTCGCATTCGTTTACATAGTAATATCATAATTGTTTTTTTCTTCTTTTGCTTACTCAGTTATGCTCGCTTCTCAAGATCATTTCAACACTACTTGTATAATATCTCTATCGTAATTACCCACCCCACCAATCGGCCAATGCGCATTAATTTTCAATTATTAACTTTACTTTCATTTAAACAAGCCCACCCTGATCCCTCCCCTCCCACCGCCCCCTACCCACTCCCCGTATCGCGCCACGACTCATGCGCTAGGACATTTAATGAGCCTTCACGTTTTTCTTATCTCTTTCCCCCCCCCCCCCTATTCTTTTAACAAGACGCAATAAAATGTTAAATACTTTTTACTTTTTTTTTTTTTTTTTCTTAGGGCACCTTTGGTATTAAGCTTGATGTTCGCCTCTCCAACTAGTTTAAGCGGCGTTACGACGCCGACCTTCCTTTTATCAACGATCGCTTCGAATTTCCACATTTTCTCCCTCGCAGCTTTTCTAATGCAATCACTCTCATCGGCCGCTATTAAAATTGACTCGTACTCGTGTCTAAAAAGCGAGACGCCGAGCAAACATTCGCTACCATGAAAATCCAAAAGAATTTTTAAAGTAAAAAATTTAACCACTTTGTAGTTTTCAGCTTTCTCTAATATTTCCTTCGCAAGATTACATTTCTCTCTCTCTCTCTCTCTCTCTCTCTCTCACTCTCTCACTCTCTCTCTCTCTCCCTCTCCATTCAATACTTTCTTATACTCGCGTTCCCTCTCACTCTATCCCTTTATCCCCCCTCTCACTCTCACTCTCTCTCTCTCTCTCTCTCTCTCTCTCTCATTCCCTCGCTCTCTCTCGCGCGCTTACGCAGACATTAACGCTCTCACTCTCATGAACAAGTTGCTCCAAGTCTCTTTTGCTCAGTTCGACGCGACCTTATAAAAGGTAATATTCGTTTAATTGCGTGTGATATATGTGTGTGTCTTCGTGACCTTAACAGTGCCTTTTTACATTCATTACGACCGACGAAATTTTTGGTCGCGAGATCGCAGTAAATTGGCTCGATCGCGATCGAGCTCATTCTCTCGCGACATAACGATTTATTACGTTTTTGTTTCTTACTCATGCATTTTTTACTCACATTACGATGTGCCTCACGCGCCACCCAAATGTAAAAACAACGCGTGCGCACGACTCGAAGGCCCCGTTTCATCATTTTTTTTTTTTTTTATTTTTATTTCTTACTTTAAAACGTTTACTTTCGTCCCTTTGTATTTTACTTTCATTGTGTTACACACCCTGATTATCATACTTTCATTTTCATTTCACATTATAATATTTATATATGTACGTCGTATATATTTATTACTTTCATTAGTTTCATTACCTTCATTACTTTCATTACTTTCATTACTTTCATTACTTTCATTACTTTCATTATTTTCGTTACTATCGTTACTATCGTTACTATCGTTACTTTCATTACTTTCATTATTTTCGTTACTTTCGTTACTTTCGTTACTTTCGTTACTTTCGTTACTTTCCTTACTTTCATTAGTTACATTAGTTCTTCTCACTATATCGTAACCGCCGGTCGGTATTATTCGCCATCCACGAGGACACTGGGACCTCTGGTCGCCCGCTACAATTGTCTATCCTTAGATTAACTGGTGCTATGCCACAACGCAAGCTCTGCGCAAACTTTTTCATATTAACAAAGGCTCTTGAAAGGCGTTAGAAAAAAAGAAGGCCAAAGACAAAACGTAAAGTCTAGTCAAAAGTGTTGCATCCTCCCTGCCACGCCATCACGGAGATCCGATAAAAATAAAAAGCTTGGAGGCCCAAGGCTTTGTCTCGTCGACGTCCCATGGGCCCTTTCACGTGGTGCCCCGAGCTCTAGAAGTTGGCCGTGGCTGCGACGACCTCGCAAATGCGGCTTCGCTCTCCCGCTGCACTGCAGTCTCTCGTCGTTGGCGCTCTATGCAGGACTCCTGGATACGAGTCCGTGGATAACGCGATCCGTCAGCCTCACATCCCGTTGATATCGATCTTAAGGTTGCCCGTTTTCTTCTCCCTTGCATCCCTACAAAGAAACAAACACAGGCGTTACAACATTCTTTCCTCTTCTATCTCGCTCTTATAGCTTATTTTTCTTATGCTCTTGGCTTGTTTGGCGCTGCATACAAGACTTGGCTGTGCTTTATTTAGATCCCAGTGCTTTATCGTTTCTCGTTGGAGTTTCAAATGAGCGCGATTTGAGACTGGCTTTTTTCGTTAACTTTTTTTTTTTTTTTTTTTTTTTTTTAATACTTAATAAAAACAAAATCAAAAAGGCAAAAAAAAAAAAAAAGAAGAAGAAAAAGAACAAAGAGAAAGAGAAAAACTTATGAAGAAAAAGAAGCAATTATCGTGCTCGGTTTTTTTAATTCATGTTCAAAAGTCAATTTAATTTTGACGAACGATGATTGGCAAATAAGGTCATTTACATAAATTATTGGACACGTAATTTTAAATGCTAAGTTACGTTAACGTACAACTTATAATTCAATAACAATTATTCATATGTTGCGTACGAGTAAAATTAATGAACTAATAAAATAGGAATAAACATTTATTAATCGATTGTACAAGCAGTAAATAATAGGTGTACACTTTTCATACCTTTTAATGTGAGAGGAATTTGACAAAGAGCAACTATATAAGAAAATAAAACAGTCCGTTATCTGTGTGATTTATCACTACGTAGTGAACAAATTTTTGAATCCTATAAAAATGAAAAATTTCAATGGTAAATCACGTTTTTATGTGCTCTCTAAAAGAAAACAAAATGAAAAATTGATTTCCCGTTCAAAAACAGAATTGAAGTGAAATAATACATTGGCTTGCAGTTTATTAGAAAACTTGAAATGACGATTAAATTGAATTTTACTTTAATCAAACGTGTACGTCCAATGCTCGTACGTAATATAATTTACATTTGAACGTATGCCCCGTATACGTATCCATTGAAAATAAATAACAATAATAAAAGTTTCCACGAAATAGACATCTGCCATTTTTCTTTTAAATTTCGCGTCTAAGCAAACTATATATATATATATATATATATATATGGGCTCGTCAAACAACGAAAAACAATTCTTTTTGTCCTTATTCTTCATTCTTCTATTATAGGTAATTAAATGTCGTGAACAACAATAGCAAATATTAATGATACGATTCGCTTAAATTAATGTTATAATAATTCGAAAGAAATATTAAAGTGAAAAGAAAATATTAATGACATGAAATCTTGGTTATCACAGACAGTACGGAAGCTTCATTTATTTATAAGCGTAAAATTAAAATAAAAAATAATAAAAGAATGCACAAATCACTTTAAATATAAGACAAATACACATACACGCACACACGCACACGCGCGCACGCACGCACGCACGCACGCACGCACGCACGCACGCACGCACGCACGCACGCACGCACGCACGCACGCACGCACGCACGCACGCACGCACGCACGCACGCACGCACGCACGCACGCACGCACGCATGCACGCACGCACGCACGCACACACACACACACACACACACACATATATATATATAAAAATATTTTTGAAAACATCTTCAAACTCACAAAAAAAAGTAGTCGTTTCAAAAAATGCAGCGATCACGGGTGGCGGGACGCCCCTGTTGATAACTGAAATAAATTTTTTTTTTTTAACAAAAGAAGTCGGCTATTTTATTTTGATGTAAATCGAAAGATATATAACTGAAATGAATAAATATTTTGCGAAATAAATATTTATTTCAGTTATCAACAGGGAATGTTCTCCGACTCTAGTACTCATTCATTTATTCATATCTTTATCGGCTAAACTACAATTATCAACGAAAGTTACAGAGGCTCCTCTGTATCATTAAAAATACAAATATCCATATGCATGTATTAAAGTTCGCGTGGATCAAAGTATTTTTTGTTTTTGTTCTGTCTCAATGGCGTCTTGCGTCGGACGAACTCAAGCACATGTACAGTTACAAAATCAGCGCAGTAGATAAACAATAAGCAATGAGCGATCTAAGACGCAAATGATAAAGCAAAACAGGAGAGAAGCCAGGTGTAATGGATATTCGCTTGGATACTCCTAGAAAATGGGGAATGGGGGGACGTGAATTAAGCAGCTAATTATCTCGGGAACATCCAAGCGAAGCAGATTTCCATCGCGTCGGCAAGGGGCGATAAAAAAGTTGAAGGATATAAAAAGTGGAGCTAAAATTGCCAACTACTCTATCGTACACACGCGCGTTTCATAAAAGCGAGAGCAATCGGAAGCTCGCCAATCGTCCGTTGAAACAAAAGCAAACATCGAGCGACGAGCGATAAATAAAGGAAGCCTATAACAGAATAATAAATAAATAAAACAATTAATGCGCAGGTAGAGATGACGAAGGGACGAAAGCCACAAGAGCTTGTTGTTACATAGGAGAGAGATAGGCCACTTTTGGCTTTGCTTTAATATCGCTTAACTTTGAGTTGGATATGAGTGAAACCTACTTCCATCCAGAGGCTTGTTAAGCCCACCTCGGCCATTTTTGACTTTGCGTATTCGATTCTTATGACTCCTCGGTCGGAGGAGACTAGGAGGGATCCCTGGAGCATAGCCATCGCTTGGGCCGCGTAGCGTACGTCTTGGTATTCGACAAAAGCCACTGGCGAGCCGCCTTTTGTGTACATACGAAGCCGACGGAAACCAGGAAAACTGTGCACAAATCAGACAAGCGTACAATACAGTATGCAATGGGTGCTATTTCAGGTTCATCCGGGGAGGCCAATTTCAACTAACCGCCCTTCCTTTGAGAAACCCGCTGCTTTCCTCTTTCGTTTTTAAAATTTCTCGATCGCCACGGCCGAGTGCGCGCAATTCTGGACTCGATGCATTTCACTCTCGTTCGCTAAATTATTCCAACTGATTCGCTTCCTTGATCCAAGCCTTTGATATGACAATCACGCCTTATTTCTAACGCGCTAACACTTGCCACGAGGATGTTATCGTTTTATATCCGATAACAATACCTGTACTTCAATATCTAGAGATCTACGAATGGAAAGCTTTTCTGCGAAATATCAAGTTTGTGCAACAGTAGAGCATTTTTTTTAATTCCCTACCATTGTTGTAAAAATTTTTCTCTTTTTTACTAACCAACTCTGCGGTCAACTCATAAAATTCGTTTTTATTTTTATTTTTCGTCCTTCTCTTTAGAGTTCGGTAGAATATTAGGAAAACTTCGATACACTAGTAATACACAACGAATTATGCCTCCAATTTCACGTATTTTCTTTCTTAATATATGAAGCTCTCGGTCATTGGCGTTTGACATTATGTTGGTACGACTAAAATTACAGCGAATTCCGATAAAGGAAAATCATTGCATTATCTAAATATTTAATTAAAGCATGGCATTAAGATGCATGTAATTATTACACACAACTACTTGTATGTAATATGTCAAAAACTCTTCTACGTCAATACGATTTTATTCAGAATTTTCAATTCTTTCGTATCTTTAATTTTTTTTATTATTTTACTCGATAAGAAAGTATATGGATATGTGCGTGGGCGCGAGCGCTCGCGTGTGTCTACTTATTTATTTATTTATTTATTTATTTATTTAGAGAGAGAGAGAGAGAGAGAGAGAGAAAACGGAATAGAGAAGAAAAAATAGAGAAAAACAAGGACAAACATGATAGATGAGCAAACGTAGACCTATTGTAAGTTCTTTTCAATATATTTACAATCGTATTGAGTTTCAGTTGTTGGCTATACTACACAATTGCTACAGCGAATGCTTTAATTTGTGTTTAATAATTTAAAAAGAAATTGAAGACTAGCAGATCGAGACCCGATTACACTTGATCATCGATAATTGCTTCTTCTTATTTCAAACCAGGAAATCGTTATATATCTTTATAAATTACAAGACTTGGGACGGCGTGGAGTGCATTATGATTTGACATATGATTTGATATTTAGCATTTATGAATTGTATATACAACAGTGTATTTTTAAATACTTTGATCACTGTGACGAAAAGTCTATTAAAATGGATAATTTCTTATCCAAGTGACATGCAATAAATACTATGAAATATCCTATTTTTAATATGGCTAAGTTAATTTTTTTCCATTTTCCAATCTAGAACTTTTCATCGCCACTGCGAATCTATATATGTAAAATGACGTATGTATCTGTGAATGTAAATCTGCTCGCTATGATTGGTGCATAGGTACGGGTACTCGCGCTATCGTAACGATGATTACTGTATCGATGATAAAAAGGAAGAAATGAATAATTGTTTATAATAGCTTTTCGTATAGCACGGCTCTGCGTTTGAAGCGTTTTTTAATTATCAATGATCAAGTATGATGCAAAACCGAAAGATACCATACCATATTGTTGTATTCTTGAATTCGTTTTAACATTGAAAATCAATCGTTATGGATTTATAAGAAAAATACAGCAATTTGTACATAGACAATCAAATATGAAATAATTTGACATTAACGAGGAATATTACAAAAAAAAACTCTGCTTTCTTTAATTGTGAATTAACAATATTATTAGCTATAATTCTGATGTGCAAAGAATTTTTGCAAATTGTTGAGCTTTTATAAATACTAATAATTGATTGAGCACTTAATATTTAAGGGTTTGCCGATTGTCTTAATAATACCAAAGTCGAAATAATACCAAATTCACTGAATTAATATACTTTAGTTAAATTTCATTATCTACGACATGTATTTTGAGCTAACTGGAGCTTAAATTTAATAATATTACGAGATAAGTACAATTTATTGAATACAAAAAGTTATATATATATATATATATATATATATATATATATATTGAGTATTTATGAGTATTGATTGAGTATTTATTGAGTATAATGTAAACACACAAAATAATGATATCGAAATCTTTCTATATTTCATTAACTATTGATTTTTCATGTAATTAAAGTTGAAAATTTTTTCTAAATGGTTTAAAATTTTACTTCAATTTTTAATTATGTTAATAGGAATATATATTGAATGAATACACTATCGAATTTTATTAATTCACGCAAATGACAAATGATAAAATACTAGTAAAAAATATAATTTTAATTTAGTGCAAAAGTACATGGATTAAAGAGTGAAAAGCGCGAAATACAAAAAATTACTGGGGCAGGTTGATAATGGTATACAATAATAAGAAAATTCATTCTTCTCCTACGATCCACGGATTCTGCGATCGTTTTGTTTTTCAAATGTAGCTGCGAAAACAATTGAATTAGTTGACCTAACCACCAAAGTAATTAAAAAAAAAAAAAAATCATCGAAATCGTTTGAAAATAAAATATTTCACTTTGCAAGAGATTACTCTTGCAAGTCCATTGGTATTAAAAGAAAATCACTAGATACCGAATTCAATCCCCTGAAAATTCCTTGTAATTTCTTTTGCACAAACGCGTCGAAGAACTTTATTCGTTTGAATTCGGTAGCAAATGAACTTGCCCATAGAATATCATGAGAAAGCGGATGAGGCGCCACTCAATACAATTCGTCCATCACTCCGAAGCTTTGCAGCACACATTTAAGGCATCTCTATACACGTAAATATACAAAAATCAAAAATATACAGTGGAAGTGGAGTGTACAGGCAAAGTGAATAATGCGCTAAGAGTACGATTAGTCTTATCGTGTGCGCACAATTGCAAATTATACCCATAATATGCGTACGAGCGACTCGCCTTCTCAAAAAAAATATATATTTTATCTTGGACTACCGAGTTATTTTTACCTCCTCGCAATCTTTCCCTTTTGTTCGGTGTCGAGCTTGATATCGAGACCTATGTTATTTCACTCGAGTACCTGTAACCATCATCCAGTCTTCAATTACATTTGCCTACGTAATTCTGATAATAATAAGTCTCGATGATAGACAACCCCAAGTGACTTTTGCTTGAAATCAAAGGCATTTTGCGACAGAAAGCACATGTACATCGAGATAAGCACTAGTGAATTTTTCATATGTTTCTGTGCATTCGAATGGTTTTTTATTTTATCACTGTTACATGTTAAAAGTGGCTTATTCAGTATACACGAGATATTTCATGGTAATTGTATGGTAAGTAACACTTTATTCATTTAATGTCAAAACTAATTATCAAAGTCAGAGTCCCATACATTATGCACGTGAATGAAGTATTAAAGTTAAAAATAAAGCAAGATGACAAATTATATATATATATATATATATATATATATATATATTACACATATTACCATACTTGGTTACGAATAAATTTCTCTGAAATGAGAATTAAAATAAATAGTAGTTATAAATTTTTTCCCTTAATTTTCCTTAAATAATGATAAATTATTTATACATAGCATTTCTCTTAATATATGATATTCAATATAAATCTTTTATTTTGATATGTCAACCGTAATATTTAGCCCTTATAAAAGTAATATCAGCTAATTTAATATCGTAAGATTTTTTAATATCGTATCTACTTTGTCTTCATTACATATTATTAATTATATTATTTATAAATTCCATTTATTAAATTGATCTTGGATATTACTTTTGATTTTATCACGTGCATTTACTGTTTTGTCGTTAGATATTTAATTGGCAGACGACGATTTACCATACTTGGATTCTATTAAAAGCTCTCGACAACTTTAAATTTCTATAATTTATTAGCCTTGCTTTTTTTTTTTTTTTTTTTTTTTTTTTTTTTAATCTCAGTACTATCAGTACTGAATAGTAGCCAAGCAATAAAAGAAAAAAAGAATGGTCGATGAAAAGTTACGAGAAAAAAAAACTTTGAAAAGTTGATACAGTTTAAGATCAAAGCTGAAATTACATACATTGTTGATGATTTGCAATGAGCAAATCAATAAAAATCCTTATACCAATACCCATTCACCGGAGCTACATTCTAGGTAATGCATTCTTAACTTTCACTCTTTTTCTAATGATCTTTTGACTTGGTAAATTGCACTTTAAGCATATATTGTTTGCTGGAAGTCAGTTTCTATCCACAATTGAAAAAGTATATTCTCAAGGCTAAGATACTGCAATTAACAACGACATGAATACGAATCTTTTAACAAACAAATTTTAGATCAATATAGTAAATTACCGATGGTCTTTAATTGTATATTCATTTGAGCCGATGCAATTGTTCAGGAGGCGATGCACGATAAATAAAATGCCTATTAAAATGCTTTCATATAAAACGCATTCGTTTACGAAATATCTATATAAAATCAAAAGAGAATGGTAATTTGAATTTTACTATTTAGGTATAAACGAGCGTTAAGCCATAATATGTCGTATTAGGTGTAATGGTAGTGGTAGTGGTAATGGCATAATGCCCATCTTTCCTCTAGTCCACGTATTACGTAGATTTGGCAAAAGTTCGGTAAAATACGCACGATAACTCTAAATTGACATCTAAAATTGATAATTGATCGGCATCTACAATTAATTTATTAATCAATAGCTCAGGGTGTCGCGTTTCGGGCAAAACAAAGGCCAATCGAAGGAATATCATTGTTTACCTTGCGGTATCTTGCCACCACTGACTTGTCAGCATACAATCACATTGTCACGTGACATTGTGTCCGTTAATAGCTATGAAAATATTTATAGTTGAGAACACGGACTGTGAGGTAGCATGCAGAAAAGAAATGAAAGAGCTCGTGTCTGCTCGACAGACGACGTTAGCTCGTGTGGATGCTGCAGAGAAGCGCTAAGCCCGTAACAAACTGGCCCCGGGCAAATACCCTTGCGTTAAATATAAACGGTCACACGCACGCACCCACGCACGCACCCACACACGCACACACACACACACACACACACACGCGAGATGATAAGAGTCGAGACGCAGATAAGAGAGCGAATAAGCTGGGCTGAAGAGATTGAGGGGTTGAAGCCGTTAGTGATGGAAGAGGCAGAGGGTAGTCTGCTGCGCTACTGCTCTCCTTCCTGTGCATCGCGAGGAGGCGCGCACGCGCTTAAGCGATTTCTGCGGGAGCTTAAATTAACGGCACTGACCTGTTGAAGATCTCCTTGAGCTCGTGCTCGGATACGAACTGGCCGAGGTTGGCGACGAAGAGCGTGGAGCAGGGCGCGTTGCTGACGGCGATGCTCGGCTGGGAGGACGAGGAGCCGACGGGCGAGGCCAGCGCCGGCGAGGGTAAGAAGTGCGGCAGCGAGGCGTGGATGGAGGTGAGGGTCGTCGGATGCTGCAGCGATATCGGCGCCTGCTGAAATGGCAACGGCAACAGAAGGGTTAGTCCACCGAAGAGTCGGCCTCGGCCGCGCTACGCTACGTGGCTCCCTTTAACTTTTTTCACTCCGTCGTTATCGCGTAGTCGCGCTCGGCTCCGGTATCTGCTCGCGCGTTCCCCACCACCAACCCGCGAGCAGCCCTGGCAACGAGTCCTTCAAAATTTTTCGAACTTTTTCGGACTTTGACTGACGTTTCTTTCTTCTGTTTTTACTGTTATCTTTGTTTATTTCGCTTCTTTTCTTTTTTCTCTCGTTTGTTTGTTCATTTGTTTGGTTAAGGTTTACATCGAGAGCGACGATTGTATAAATTGCTCTTTTTCTATCCTCGTGGTACCTCTCTCCTTCTCTCTCTCTCTCTCTCTCTCTCTCTCTCTCACTCTCACTCTCACTCACTCTCACTCTCACTCTCACTCTCACTCGCGCACACACTCTCACACTCAATCGATCTCTCACTCTCACTCTATCTATCTATCTATCTATCTATCTATCGTTCTCGAGTATCAATACGAGAAGGGCTTGAGGTGTTGCAAAGTCAGGACGTCGATGCGGATCGATTTCCTTCGCGGGATTGTTCTTATCGCGAACAAATATTCTTAATTCATGAATGTGAAATTCATGCGCATTCTACACGTGTCCCATCCTACGTGGACTTTCATCTCTATTGAACGGGGCAACATCTTCGATTATCACATTATCGACCGTGAATTACTTTTTAAATGGCTCGTAGTTAGGTAAGTCTTAAATGACGGTCTTTCGTGAATTAGGGTTCAGGTTGAAGGAAAAAGAAAAAATAATGAAAGAAGACAAGATACTCTTTTAAGTGATATCTAGGTAGGATAATTAACAGTACTGTGCTTATAAAATAATGGGCTCTCTCGAAATGGCCACGTCGCGTCTCCCCACACTGCCCCATTCTCATTCGACTTTGTATTACATTACTCACTGGACAATCTATCATTATCATTTTCAGCGTGTAGTCAAATTAAAAAATGCTTATCTCACATTGGTAAACTTTGCGTATAAGTTCCTTTAATCGGACGATTACTGGTCGGTCGCGTTACGATACCAACTTCTCCACCGATCGCTGCAGGAAACTCGGCACTAATCAACTTACAAAAAGCTAATTATCAATGCGTACATAACTTTTACCGGTCGGGGCAATCGAATGACTCGAGCTACAAATGGCTCTTTCATCGTAATCAAATTTATAGCTTGTTTCGGAAAATCTGACGGATATTTGCATGGGAAATTGTATTGATGGCATGGCGTGTGGCCTACAAGTACGCGAAAACAAATATAAGTATTGTTAATGAGAGTTATTTCGGTAAGAGCAAAACAAGTGAGTAAAAACCTTGGAGCGCCGGCCAACAACAGCTAAACACAATAAGCTAAAAAATTTAGAAATAAGTTGATATAAGATAAGGAGGAGAAACGAGGAGGGGTGGATGGGGGAGAGGGAGATGAGAGGAAGCGAACCTTAATCTTTGCGTGTGAAAATCTCACGATTTTGCCTCGTCAATACATCAATCGGCAATCGGCACAAGTTTACGGGGGCTACTGATCCCCCAGCCAAGTGCGCTCGCTTGTTGAATTTCCACGTACGTGCAACAGTCAGAGTCAGTCGTCGGTCGAGGCCAAGCGTCTACGCAGAACGTAAATATTATCTTCTCCTGGAGAAGATAACGTCCCGTGTCAGAGAGCACGAGCTACCTCTTGAGTTTTGATAGGCAGCCTCGCGATTACGGATTATTCAGTCGCGACGACGTTCGAACACCGATTGACTTTGCAGATGCCGACCATCGATTCCTTTATTCCATCGTCTTTTATCAAATATAATCCATTATTATAATTAACTGCTTTCTTCCTCCGTCTTTTCAAATCTGATATTGCTTTTTCATTCATTAACTACTTTCACCGATCACGCTCCTTACTTTATTACCGATTATGCTTGTTACTTTATTCCTTTGTCGGTTAAGTGGTTTTTCTATTTCTATTTCTTTTGTTTTTTGTTTTTTGTTTTTGTTTGTTGTTTATGAAAGCATCAGTTGAAGTCACTAACGTGCATCGGGGCGCTCGTCGGCGGCTCCAGAGCTTTGTCCGCAGATAGTCAAAGATAGGAACGTACGGGGACCTGTGGATGTAACGCGGGATGGACGAGGGTCGCGTGCGGCAGGGTTCCGGGCAGCTCTCCCGCCGTCGAGTACGTCAGGGGATGATGCCAGAGCTCGGGTCCGCCTGGGAAGAATGGACTTCCTAGCGCTGAAACAGAACGGAAACACACGGGGCCACGAGGTGGCGTTAGTATGGGCTTGGCACGGTAATGCTCGTTGAGCCAACATTTTACTCGCCTACGTCTTATCGTTATCATTGAGTGATGTCGTCATAGTGCTTGTGATTAACATGTTATAAGTGGTAAGACAGTGTTTGGATCGGTTTTGGAATCGGTTGTGTATCTCGAAAAGATGCTCGATTCTAATGAAGTTTAAGGCGACGCAACTGCCACTTGGCGATCTAGCGTCGGTAATGCATTTACTTTTGAACTTCGCTTGGATGTAACGTTCGGTTTTCCAAAGTGATAAAGCTTCTTTGTTACAAAGCTCGGGCGTACGAAACGCCCGCGAACGTGATAACCAGACTCAAGTTGAAGCTCAATTTTTAACGGGACAATTGGCTAGAAATACGCGAGCACAAGGCCATTCACATACCGTCAAATAAAATTACAAATATCAATTAATCAATGAATAGGCGTAAAATATTGGAGTAAAAGAAACATGTAAAATTTAATACGAAGCTGAGATTTATATAGTCTTAATGGAAGCTTAGCATAAACACCAAAAACATATTACTGATTTATTAATATTTTCTCGCTGTCTATGGCTGGTCCGGGTGTCCCAATGCTGTGATCAAATTCTACAGATTCGGGTTATTTAATTAGCTCAATTACAGAATGCCGGAGCGAAAGAGGGGCACATTGTACGCGAATACGTTAAAATGAAATAATAATTAATAGTTATCGCGCGATAACTTAAAATCATCGATAAATCATGCGATTTCAATCTCACGAGTGAAATTCGGCATTTTGGGCTAGCCTATAGGATCTTGCATAGTATGTATTTTAAGGGCAACCGCATTTCCCAATTCTCGCAGCAGTATTAACAATCATCGGAGTTGAGTAAACCAATGCGGTAATAGAAGCGTAGTTTATGTGAAATTAGATTCACGGTTCATCCCTGCGTTTGTCGGTCATTCGGCGAAAAGCAAGTGACCGAGTGATTGACGAACCACTGGAGGAACAAAGTGCCAATGGCCTTAGGTCGTCGCCGATGCACCGCGCCAATGGACTTCGATGGACTCGGGGGCAAATTTCTTCTCCGCTCCGCGCGTACGACTCTCCCTCCCCGGGCCCCCAGTTCCCGCTCCGAACGGCCAACCAGACCCCTTCCATCTCGAGAGGTCGTCGCGTGACCCCGACCACGCGGGGCTGCATTATACTTTATTAACGCGGGCCGTTGACGCACGCGTACGCATAGCCGCCACCTCCGGCTGTCCGTCACTGGCTTATCGAGCCGCGTCCACGGAGTCGCCCATCGCCGGTGCTTTCCTCGCTCCCGTTCGCGGCACTCCCCCTCCCCACCCCTCCACCCACGACATCGTCGGAATTATACACGTGTCCGAGGTAAAATCGAGAGCCGAGAGGAGCGAGGCTCAGGCGCTCGGCGAATCGAGGTTATCGCGCCCGTACGTCCCGCCACTCTGACGCGGCTGCTTTTCCTCCGCTTTTTTTTTCTTTGCGCTCTCTTTTCCTCGCCACGAATAATGTTTCGTTTAATTGGTTCGCGCGCGATACCTCCGACTCCCTCGAACACGTAGTTTGCGGAGCTTCACCACTACTGCATTTTCTTTAGATAAAAATCGTTATAGCGATCGGGGGATTATTTCTGGAATTGTAATATCTGCCCACCGAATTTTTTCGAGATTCCGATTATTTTATTGTTTATTTGGCTCGCCGGAGAAATTGCTGTTCTTGCGTTTTTGCGCTCGTGTACGAAGCGATGAATTTAATCGGCGGCGCGCAGTACGCGAGTACGCGACGTACACTTTGTAAATATAAGGCTTCATTGTATGAAGCAATTCTCGTCATATTAGATCTTAGAACCAGGATTATTGACATAATGAATATGTCATAAATGCTTCTTCGTAAGTTATTTACGAAATTTCCGAAATAAAGCAGTTCATACGAATGCGTATCGAAGCATTTATCGAATATTTTAATTTTGTCTTTATACGTACTTTAATATCTAATCCCTACTAATAGATGACAATAATAATAATAATAATAATAATAATAATAATAATAATAATATTAATAATAATAACGATAATAATAATAATAATAATAATAATAACAATAATAAAAATAATATATGATTCATATGAAATTTTACTTATTAGTTAACAAAAGATTTTATTTATTTTTTATTTATTTATTTATTTTTTTTAATGAACGTTTAGGCATTGAGTAAATCTACTATTATGTTCATTATATTCATGAAACAGTCTTTGACTAACAGGGTTAAGAATAAGAGTTCACTATGAAATAAGTTCACTATCGATATTCTAAGAAGAATGGGCGATTTCAATGCACTACTACCCATGTATACGTAATGATATAAATGTTGTTGCCGAGTGTTAAATTATTCACTGCACGTTTAAACGGTAAATTTAATATTAATGATAAAATTAGTTCAAAATTACAAAAATATAGGAAATTATTTATATTATACCCCTTATTTCCCTTATAATTTCAAATGACATTTCTGTTTATTTATGCGTAACTGAGTATATAATGACGACAGACAATTTATAAAAAGAACCTGTAATTACTAATTATTTTACGTATCATTTTATAATAACCAAAATAACTACGGCAAATTATAATTAATAAATTAGAATATGTAATTTTAAGAAATTAATTTACAGGCTTAATTATAATATCGAATACCTCGATTAATTGACGATTCTTTAATTTTCAGTAAATAATACATACATATTCATCATGAAGTTGTTTGCCATATTTTATTTAAAAAATATTATTATTTTGAATTGAATATGATGGATTAATCTTATGTGAAATTAACACTAACAAACAGATGGGAAATTGTCTGAAACATTAGAAATACACGATAGAAATTATAAATACTGAAATATTTCTATTTTCATTAACTTCATTCTATATTTGGTTTATGCTTTAAAGACTACTTGTACCCATTCACAGCTTTCTCTTTACCCTTCTACTTTTACTTCTTTCGAAGCGCATAAAAATAAATCAGTAATATTCATTGACTGAGTGGTTTAATTTTGTATTAGCTTCCTTCATAAATGAAATGATGTCGGGGTGTATATAATATCGAAGAACAATACGGTAGTTCTGCGTGTCTGTGTATATTTGTGCATGTATGTCAGTAATTTATTAGAGGCATACATTAACTCAATTCAAGTACAAAATGATGTAACTGTACATCCGTGTCATGAGATTAATTTCAATCTTGAGTTATGTGCGATATCCGCTTTTTTTCATTTTTTCATTGTGTAATGCTTACTTCGTTCGTAATGTATTAAATACTACATTTAATATTAAGGATCGATTATTTCAATTTTTTATTAAGAACTCAAATTAATTAAGTTATAAATTAAATCAATTAAATGGCTTAATAATGCCTTTTGAACTGTTCACATCATAATTTATTTGACCTTTATAATCATACAAACTTTTTAAAATTAACTTTAGTCAAATACAATTCTATCCTATTTTTAAATAATACCTGTCTTATGTTGATATTACTTGAAAGTTAACGAATTTACATACAATAGCAGGTTGTGATTCGTCAATTTATGAATAGTACATTGACAGATAAAATTATGCTTAAGTAACTACTTTGTACATACAAATAAGTATAAATTAATCGATAGATGCATTTTCCATGTATTATATATATTATTAATATTTTTAATTAAAAACGTACAAAATATTTATATGATCAACATAAACTGAGAAACATCATTTTTTCTACTTTAACCAATAGACATTCACTTATGGGTTTTTGGCTATTTTTTAGAAAAGGTTGGTAGTTATTATAAAAATATTAATGCAATATAGTATAAATAAAGAAATTTACGATTAAACTAAAAAGAGAAAGAGACTAACCGCTACATAATACGAGGCTTCTCTTATATTAAAGCTTATCTTTTTCGTGCACTTAAAAATAAATGTTAAAATCTATGCAATTTTTATAAAATTGTAAATTGAATGTAAAATTATAATGGACATAGAAATAAGTGAACATTTGTGGGAAAAATATTGTTACGTATGTCGATAAATGCTTGTTTTTTTTTTTGTTTTATACATATACATGACTAACTATTCAAAATCATGTACGTTAAAAATATAATAAAATTTAAGTGAACGCCGTCGCGTCAGCAATGGCTTTAAAAATCGTGAAAAATCCCGAATTTGTGGAAGTGAGAAACTTTGCTATTTACGTGAAAAGAGAGACTAGAAAAATTTATATAAGGGTAAATGGAAAAAGAGTTGAAAAGAGTAGAGGAAGAAAAGGAAAGATATTGAAAGGAAAGATTTGCCTTTTCTACACTTTGGTATCGTTCGAGATGAGAAAGAAGTTTTTACGAACAAGCATTTTTAGTTTGATAAGGTTAATAAAATGTTTTATAATATTTAGTTGATATTAAAAAACGTATTTCCAACCGCTCATTTAAACTTCGTATTCAACTTTCAATGTGAATTGCAATTTCGAACTTTCGTTTCATATTACAATCAAAAAAAGATATTCGATACAATTCAAGCAGATATAACTTTATAGAATGTTGGCTTAAATCTTTATTGTAATAATAAATAATTCATATTAATTTTATACGAATTTACCGATAATATTGAATAGTAAGAATTTGCATATTTTCTAAACAATATAAATATGACACTGAGTATAAGCGCTAAAAAATGATATATATTAGAAAGATGATTTAGTGTTAATCAAACATTTTGAAACAAATACATTTATAATTAATAAATGAAATATATTCGCGCTCGCGCGCGTGTGCGTGTATGTATATATGTCTGTGTGTGTACGTAGTCCTAATTATAATATTCATTTCATTGTTGAAATGAAAAAAGTTATCGCCGATATTATTTATGCTTATGTTGATACTTCTTAAATTATAATAATTGAAGGTACACGAACTAAATGACTTTATGCAATTTCTTAATCTGCATATCATGGAATATTGTGGAAAACTTGGTTTAATTTCTGCATATTAATTAACGACACTTTTGTCGAATAGTATCGTATTCTCTTATATTTGCGCGTGATTTCTCGAATTTGAGTATTAGTATTTCTCGAAGCTGGGTATTAAAGAAATATAATTAATGGTAAAATATGGACAAAGTGCGAGAGCGATACAGATAGATAAGGATGGTTAAATAGTTAGAGAGGGGCGGGGTAGGGGTGAGAGTGTTGGTGAGGGGATGGGAGTGGGGTGAACAGTGAAAAAATTGTGGATGATATATATATATATATATATATATATATATATATATATGGAGAGAGAGAGAGAGAGAGAGAGAGAGAGAATAAAATAAAAAAATGATAGACAGAGAGATAGATAGAGACGTATTATTATCAGCGAGTGTACAAGTGGCGGTGCATACTTACGTCCAGTTAGAGGGTGCATCAGAGCGGGGTGCGAGGTGGCTGCTGCAGCGGCTGGTTGCTTGGGTTTGCTAACCTTTGTGTTACTTTTTGCAAATTCCAAACGTATGGTTTGTGGCATTTCAGGATCGAATCTAACCCCCTGCTGCAAATATAGAGCCCTAAATTAGTAAAACGACAGCGGGAGGAAGGGAGTGAAATGAGAGGCAGACACAATGTGCCGTTGAATAATGAGGTGGTGCTGCTGTTAGGAGAGCCTTTGGATTCGACAACTGTGTATTTACTCATTACCCTTTTATCAGCGTGGATGTGGTGGGATTTGCTTTCATTTTTCCTTCTCTCGGCTATGTCTGTTTGCATATGTTGTGTGCTTGTGTTTCTGTGTACTCGTAGCAATGTGCCTGCTTTAACGTGTATACGTGCGTGTATTTTGTAGGGAA